TCACAAACCTTTGCGACCCACGTCAATTAGAAGTTATTCGTAAACTCCAGGGTAACATGATTTGCGACCCAGTCTTTGGGAAACAATGCCTTACCAAAGCTGAGTCTTTTAACCGCTAGGCTACAAGATTTTTTTTGTGTGTGTTAGTGAAACTGTGAGGTCACTCACCTGACCTTTGACCTTCGTGGCTTCTTTGTTTTTTTTTTCCCCCAAACTATTTCTGGTTTGTGTTGCAGGACGTGGACAAAGCCTGCGACACCGTCCTGCAGCAAGTGTCCATAGAAGAGATCCTGGAGGAGCAACGGTTGCAGCAACAAGCCAAACAGGAGACAGAGAAAGTAAAGATGCAGGTCCTAAAAGACAGAGGCCTCTCCGTCCCCAAGGCCGACAATCTGGACGAGTACTGAGAGCGCCCCCCCCTTAGCGTTTCACGAGCCCAGCTTCTTAGTTCGCGTAGGACTCGTACTATTTTTTTTTACTTTGAGACGACTGCTTTGAGCGACACTTATTAAGTGATGCATACTGTATGAATTTAATTTGAAAAATTAAAAAAAAAAAGTAAAAAAATCCAACCAGTGCTCTTAAAGTTTAGATCATGACCAGAAAACGATGGTTACGTTGGCGTTAAAAAATTTTTTTTTTCAATTTTTAAAATTTTTTTAATTTGGTTATTTGGTTTATCCTGCCTTTTTCCTGATGGATGCTGGGATTGGCTCCAGGGTCTGAATGCGATGAATTATGACGATGATAAAAAAAACTCATACTCCATTGAAAAAAGTGAAAAAATGTCTCTTGGTGTTATTTGGTCAACTCCTGGTAAAATGTCAAGTCCCTTAAAATTTCTTTTTTTACATTTTGAGTCATTTTAGAGGATGATATATGTTGAAAAAATATTTTTCATGTCAATTAAACATTTAATGATGAAAAAAACATTTTTTTTTAGCCAACTAGAGGAAAATTATGTTGTTTGACCTTTGACCTCACAGGTGATGGCATCTTGTCTTAGTTCGAATTAAAAAGTATTTCTAAAAAACTTGTGTACGCAGAGGTTTGCACAGGTACGCAAAAGTACACAGAGGCACGCAAAGGTACACAGAGGTACGCAAATGGACACATTTACACAGAAGTACACACAGGTACACAACGGGACACAGGTACGCAAAGGGACACACAGGTACGCAGAAGTACACACGTACACAAAGGGACACACAGGTACACAGAAGTACACACAGGTGCGCAAAAGTACACACAGGTACGCAAACGGACACGTACACACAGGTGCGTAAAAGTACACACAAGTACGCAAACGGACACGTACACACAGGTGCGTAAAAGTACACACAAGTACGCAAAGGTATACACAGGTACACAATTGTTTTGCTACATAAAAGGCGTGTAAGTGTAATGTAAAACATCTACCACCAGAGGGCAACATTACCCTAATTTCTGAGGATAAAATGTTCTCATTCAACAGAATGGACTTATTATTGTATATATAGTAGTAGTAACTATTAATATTAGTATTATATATAATATTAGTAAAAAAATATATACTTCATATAATTAAAATATGAAAATATATTTATATTCTCATTTTTTGATTAATTTCTTTTTTTTAATAAATGGACATATATAATATACACTGGAATATACGGACATATATAATATACAGTGGAATATATAGACATATAGTATACACTGGAATATATGGACATATATAATATACACTGGAATATACGGACATATATAATATACAGTGGAATATATAGACATATAGTATACACTGGAATATATGGACATATATAATATACACTGGAATATACGGACATATATAATATACAGTGGAATATATAGACATATAGTATACACTGGAATATATGGACATATATAATATACACTGGAATATACGGACATATATAATATACAGTGGAATATATAGACATATAGTATACACTGGAATATATGGACATATATAATATACACTGGAATATACGGACATATATAATATACAGTGGAATATATAGACATATAGTATACACTGGAATATATGGACATATATAATATACACTGGAATATACGGACATATATAATATACAGTGGAATATATAGACATATAGTATACACTGGAATATATGGACATATATAATATACACTGGAATATACGGACATATATAATATACAGTGGAATATATAGACATATAGTATACACTGGAATATATGGACATATATAATATACACTGGAATATACGGACATATATAATATACAGTGGAATATATAGACATATAGTATACACTGGAATATATGGACATATATAATATACACTGGAATATACGGACATATATAATATACAGTGGAATATATAGACATATAGTATACACTGGAATATATGGACATATATAATATACACTGGAATATACGGACATATATAATATACAGTGGAATATATAGACATATAGTATACACTGGAATATATGGACATATATAATATACACTGGAATATACGGACATATATAATATACAGTGGAATATATAGACATATAGTATACACTGGAATATATGGACATATATAATATACACTGGAATATACGGACATATATAATATACAGTGGAATATATAGACATATAGTATACACTGGAATATATGGACATATATAATATACACTGGAATATACGGACATATATAATATACAGTGGAATATATAGACATATAGTATACACTGGAATATATGGACATATATAATATACACTGGAATATACGGACATATATAATATACAGTGGAATATATAGACATATAGTATACACTGGAATATATGGACATATATAATATACACTGGAATATACGGACATATATAATATACAGTGGAATATATAGACATATAGTATACACTGGAATATATGGACATATATAATATACACTGGAATATACGGACATATATAATATACAGTGGAATATATAGACATATAGTATACACTGGAATATATGGACATATATAATATACACTGGAATATACGGACATATATAATATACAGTGGAATATATAGACATATAGTATACACTGGAATATATGGACATATATAATATACACTGGAATATACGGACATATATAATATACAGTGGAATATATAGACATATAGTATACACTGGAATATATGGACATATATAATATACACTGGAATATACGGACATATATAATATACAGTGGAATATATAGACATATAGTATACACTGGAATATATGGACATATATAATATACACTGGAATATACGGACATATATAATATACAGTGGAATATATAGACATATAGTATACACTGGAATATATGGACATATATAATATACACTGGAATATACGGACATATATAATATACAGTGGAATATATAGACATATAGTATACACTGGAATATATGGACATATATAATATACACTGGAATATACGGACATATATAATATACAGTGGAATATATAGACATATAGTATACACTGGAATATATGGACATATATAATATACACTGGAATATACGGACATATATAATATACAGTGGAATATATAGACATATAGTATACACTGGAATATATGGACATATATAATATACACTGGAATATACGGACATATATAATATACAGTGGAATATATAGACATATAGTATACACTGGAATATATGGACATATATAATATACACTGGAATATACGGACATATATAATATACAGTGGAATATATAGACATATAGTATACACTGGAATATATGGACATATATAATATACACTGGAATATACGGACATATATAATATACAGTGGAATATATAGACATATAGTATACACTGGAATATATGGACATATATAATATACACTGGAATATACGGACATATATAATATACAGTGGAATATATAGACATATAGTATACACTGGAATATATGGACATATATAATATACACTGGAATATACGGACATATATAATATACAGTGGAATATATAGACATATAGTATACACTGGAATATATGGACATATATAATATACACTGGAATATACGGACATATATAATATACAGTGGAATATATAGACATATAGTATACACTGGAATATATGGACATATATAATATACACTGGAATATACGGACATATATAATATACAGTGGAATATATAGACATATAGTATACACTGGAATATATGGACATATATAATATACACTGGAATATACGGACATATATAATATACAGTGGAATATATAGACATATAGTATACACTGGAATATATGGACATATATAATATACACTGGAATATACGGACATATATAATATACAGTGGAATATATAGACATATAGTATACACTGGAATATATGGACATATATAATATACACTGGAATATACGGACATATATAATATACAGTGGAATATATAGACATATAGTATACACTGGAATATATGGACATATATAATATACACTGGAATATACGGACATATATAATATACAGTGGAATATATAGACATATAGTATACACTGGAATATATGGACATATATAATATACACTGGAATATACGGACATATATAATATACAGTGGAATATATAGACATATAGTATACACTGGAATATATGGACATATATAATATACACTGGAATATACGGACATATATAATATACAGTGGAATATATAGACATATAGTATACACTGGAATATATGGACATATATAATATACACTGGAATATACGGACATATATAATATACAGTGGAATATATAGACATATAGTATACACTGGAATATATGGACATATATAATATACACTGGAATATACGGACATATATAATATACAGTGGAATATATAGACATATAGTATACACTGGAATATATGGACATATATAATATACACTGGAATATACGGACATATATAATATACAGTGGAATATATAGACATATAGTATACACTGGAATATATGGACATATATAATATACACTGGAATATACGGACATATATAATATACAGTGGAATATATAGACATATAGTATACACTGGAATATATGGACATATATAATATACACTGGAATATATGGACATGTATAATATACACTGGAACATATAGACATATATAATATACACTGGAATATATGGACATATATAATATACACTGGAACATTAAACATACATAATATACATCTGGAATATATAGACATGTATAATATACACTGGAACATATGGACATATATAATATACACTGGAATATATGGACATATATAATATACACTGGAATATATGGACATATATAATATACACTGGAATATATGGACATATATAATATACACTGGAANNNNGGGTGCGGGGTGGTGGTGGGGCCGGGGGGGGGGGGGGGGGCAGGGGTGGGGGCTGGAGCTGCAGACCCTGGTCTGGTTCAGTCCACAGTCTGACTATTATTATTATTATTGACGACCGGTGTTTGAAGGAGTTACTGTATATAGTATTGGAAAGGATGCAATATATACAATATACCAATATAAACATGACATTGAAATACATTATATATGCACGCATATATACATACAGTATATACTGGATATAGAAATATACTAGCAAACATATATTAAACATATACACATACATATATACGCAACACACCTTACATACATTATATATGTATATATATGCTCTCTATATACATATATACATACTGTTTCCACAGGATATAGAAAGATAATATCAAACATATCATATATAACATACGCATTTATACTTATATACACACATAAATATACATGCACATATATACAGGATATAGACATGTAATATCAAACATTATCATATATTAAACATACACACATATACATCTAAATACAGGATATAGACATAATATCAAACATAAACGAAATATACACATATATACTGTACATACCAATATAAACACAATGCACATTGCATACATTATATATGTATATATTCACACACACAAATATATACACGCATATACATAAACATATATTTCTAATCGTAAATGGAATTTAAGATTGTGGTTATTGTCGTGTTGTTGCACGTACTCCCTCACCCGTCCGTTCATTCGGATATTTAACCGCTAATAATAAACGCGATAATGTCAAATGTTGTTAACTCGTAATTAATGCTAACTAATGACGGTTAAAACCAGCGGCCAATTGGTTTTCACCGATGGTCGAAAACTAAACTAAAGCCTGTTTCATCTTCTGCTCGTTATGTTTTTTTT